AACAAAAAAATACCACTAGTTCAATCTGGGTCGTCTTTGGAAATTCCAAAAGCATAGTCTATGCTTTTGTTGGAAGTGAATATAATTCAAGAAGAGTGGGGGTGAGAGTGGGGGTGGGAAGTGAGAAGAAATGAGAAGTGACAATCTGATCATTTTACAACTCCTGCAACTATTAAGGTATCTTTTGAATTTCTAAATCATGACTAGAGAAACACACCAACCCCTCAGTTTCTTGACAGAAGACAGACAACCTACATCCACCAACATATAACTAGTGAAGTCTTCTCTGACTCACGTGCAGCTTTGCCCACTTTCTGCTCGCAGATGGCTCCTCACTGTTGTCTCTGGAGCTATCTTCCACAATGCTATCCTTCTCTGACACATAAGAAAGAAAACAAAGATCACAACTTTCAGAAAGGGTCTCCACACTTCCTCCAACCAGATGGAAATAGGGAGTAAGAACTACTCCCATTGTGAATGGAACAGCACAAAAGAGTGAACAACATTAATGAAATCTAATATCAATGTAACACACTAATAGTATGTTTGGGCTTCAAAGAGGAAAATCCCACCCTTTAGAATATCGGAGTGCTTTTTAAAAGTTAATTAGTCCAGGAGCCAGTGCTGTGATGCAGTGGGTTAACGCCCTGGCCTGAAGCACTAGCATCCCATATGGGCGCCGGTTCAAGTCCTAGCTGCTCCACTTCCTATCCAGCTCTGTGCTATGGCCTGGGAAAGCAGTAGACGGTGGCCCAAGTCCTTGGGCCCCTGCACCCGCATGGGAGACCCAGAAGAAGCTCCTGGCTCCTGGCTTCGGGTCGGTGCATTTCTGGCTGTTGGCGGCCATCTTGGAAGTAAACCAGAGCATGGTAGACCTCTCTCTCTCTGCCTCTCCTCTCTCTCTGTAACTCCGACTTTCAAATAAATAAATAATTTTTTATTTTTGACAGGCAGAGTGGACAGTGAGAAAGAGAGACAGAGAGAAAGGTCTTCCTCTTCCGTTGGTTCACCCCTCAATGGCCGCTGCAGCTGGCGCACTGCGCTAATCCGAAGCCAAGAGCCAGGTGCTTCCCCTGGTCTCCCACGCGGGTGCAAGGCCCAAGCACTTGGGCCATCCTCCACTGCACTCCCTGGCCACATCAGAGAGCTGGCCTGGAAGAGGGGCAACGGGACAGAATCTGGCACACCGACCGGGGCTAGAACCCTGTGTGCCGGTGCCACAGGCGGAGGATTAGCCTAGTGAGCCACAGTGACAGCTAATAAATATTTTTTTTTAAAGTTAATTAGTCCAAATAAAAGAGTTGCTGAAAAAAATGTCATACTGGTCTTAAATGAAGATCAACTTAACTGCTGAAATACAAGAACCGACAGTGGTAATGCTTGTAGCTGTAAACTAAAGCCAACATTCTTGTTCATGCTGGAGGATACCTATGGGAAGATAACTCACTACCTATATTATTGATGGCAGTAAGCTATGATGCGAGAGTAGTAACTTGCAAATGAAAATCAAATACAATACATTGCCTTTCTACAAGAAAAGCCCAACTACTAATTTTCCCCTCCTGCTCTTAAAACATTACGACTGGATCAGGGTTGCAACTATATTCCTTATTTTCAGACTCAATCAAATATTTAAACATTTTTCTTGTTATTCAGCTAAAATGAACAAAATGTTTATAGCAGTGGTTCTGTAATAATAGAAACAAAGCCCTAGAAAACTCACTATGGTTAATCTAGCAGTACAAATGACCAGACTACAGGATAAGTTGTGTGTTCTTTAGAGGCAATCTGAATCACCAATGTTGATCATTTTATGAGTCAACGTAATCAGAAGTCACCCTATTGATCATTTATAATCGAAGAAATCTAATATTAAATTTATTGGCAGTGGTAGAAATCTAGTCATTTCCAGACTTGAGTATCAGTTAAGATAATCTCACTTCTTCCATCCCAACAGCCCAGTCCTTGTAAAGGGCATGTCTTTCTTTTATATTTAAGTTTCAAGAATTTATTTTTAAAACAACATGTACAGGCTTTGATATGTCAAAACATAATTTTGTTATACCACTTTCCTTTGTTTACAAGGGACTGACATAAATTTGTCACTTTACCAGAGAAATGTTTCGAAGTGTATGCTTTACTATAAAAGTCAATAATGTCTTCCTTGAAAACAAAAGATAGCAAACCACCATAGGATTACAAATAATTCACAATTCCTTCTTCATAGGTTCATGAATCAAACATTTTGGTTGCTTTTTAGTGTTTAAATAACGACAAAAAGCTTTCAGTTTTAGATAACCGTTTTGTGAGCCTTTCTATATAATACGGTTTTATTTAATTGTCTGATTTAGAGAGGTGAAATTTTAAAATGACAGGATCATAATTTAGTATTTTATACCTTAAAAGGATAGCTTTTACAACCAGTAGGTTAGAATCATTATAAATTAAATTAAAAATACATAAAAAAATGCTTTATATGTGATTATGCACAAGCCTAATAAAATAGATAGTTCCATTGTGCTACTTATTTATACAGGTTTACTCAGGAGGTCAGATCACTGCCAACTAGGAACCTCCCTTCCAGAGGCCATGGCTTGATTTGGGATTTGGAAGTTAAGTTTTTGAAAGAAGTCAGTTCAGTTTTGCTATAAGGAAAACCATTATTCCATTAAAGAAATCAAAGTTTAACAAAGGATTTCATATTTTGAATTGGAAGGCAGGAAGCATATAAAGAAGAAAACAGGCAACAATATTGGTAGCTTAAACAATCCAGAGAAGGAAAATCAAGTGCAACTCAGATCTGTTGACCAAGAATCTCAACTTAAAATGGAAAAGTGTGTTCCATGTTAATCATCTTGATTTCATGTTATCTGGCTTTGCTTAGGGATGATTTCTTTACACTCCACTCTCAGTTTTGAAAGATACCTATTTCAGAGTCTGGAAGTATTCCTGAAACCACCAACATTTCCACAGGCAATGGTGGAGAACTTTGCCCTCTGGAACAAAATGAAAATGCTTTTTAGGAAGTCCTTGCTGCCTTTTACAGGCCTTTGTATACATTGCCACATCGCTCACCAGCTTTCATGTTTCCAGCAAGAACAAACCTCATTTCTTAACCTAAAGAAGCACACATTTCAGGGCCAAGATAATAACAACACTATTGAATTTTGTGAAAGGGTTACCGAATGTAAATCCAAAGGAGGACTGAATAGCTGAGTATTTTATCATGGCCACACAGACAGAAGTATGGGAAATAGCTGCAATTTATGGAGAATCAGATCATGTTCCACATTTACATGCTACCAAAAGTTCACTAGAATCTAAGATTTGCTCCAGGGTATTCCGTGGGAATGGGCAGCCAGATAGTAACAATATGTGCTTACTGAATTGATGTTTTGATTTCTCTGCTATGTAAATTGTACATGAGCAGTACCTGAGCTGAGCAGAGATTCTGAGCTCTGGATAGAATTTAGAGCTGTGGAGGCTTGCATTGTGGTGCAAGGATTAAGCCTCCACTTGCCATGTTGACATCTCTTATCAGAGTGCCAGTTCAAGTCCTGGGTCTTTTACTTCTAATCGAAGATGGTCCAAGTGTTTGGGCTCCTGCCACTCATGTAGCAGATCAGGATAGAGTTGCTGGATCCTGGCTTTGACCTTCTTGACATCTCACTGTTCTGGCCATTTGGAGAGTAACCCAATAGATGGAAAATCCAGCCACTGGTTCACTTGCTCTCTCTCTCTCTTTCCCCTCTCCCCACGGTTGATCTGCTTTTCAAATAAACATTTATTTATTTATTTATTTATTACAGGCAGAGTGGACAGTGAGAGAGAGAGACAGAGAGAAAGGTCCTCCTTTTTCCGTTGGTTCACCCTCCAATGGCCGCTGCGGCCGGCACACCAGGCTGATCCGATGGCAGGAGCCAGGTGCTTTTCCTGGTCTCCCATGCGGGTGCAGGGCCCAAGCACTTGGGCCATCCTCCACTGCACCCCTGGGCCACAACAGAGAGCTGGCCTGGAAGAGGGGCAACCAGGACAGGATCTGGAGCCCTGACCGGGACTAGAACCCAGAGTGCCGGCGCCACAGGCAAAGGATTAGCCTAGAGAGCCACAGTGCCGGCCAAACATAAATATTTTAACACAATATTGGAGGACATAGTGGGTTGATACTCTGATAGATCCTATTTAACTGATTCTCCTTTGCTAGGCAGACCACCTCACACAACAGGCTACCATAAATGTGGCCAGATATGCTTTCAGAAATGTGAGTGCAGGGAGAAAAAACACAGTGCAACTGCAGGATTGAAAACCCATACTCTACCCTTTTGCATATATCCCTTCTCCCCTAAATTATCAAAGAACAACAGCCTTTTTTATTAGATTTAAATTACAAAAAGCTACTCGCACCACTACACCCTCCCAAAAATAACGGGCAGTTGTGACTGATTTAGACCCCCTTTCAAGTACTCCTGTTCAAGGTCTCTGGCACTGCTGATACTCCATTGGGATCATTTTAGTTGCTACTGGACTCTGAGTTCCATGGAGCCTTCAAACCCGGATTTCGGAATCGTGCTAGGAGTTTCTCCAGGCACCTGTGGAAACCTGGGATGGAGAGATGGGGCAGGGGATAACCCTAGGAGTCCTGAACTCCCCAACTGATTCTGTAGTAGTGGTTTACTTTACACACTGGGCCTTTTAAAAAATTTTAAGCACAAAGGTTCAACCTACTTTCAAGGGCTTGAAAACTGCTAATGAGGTAAAATGAGTTGCCAGATAATTTAGTATGAAGGACAGACCTTGTTACCCACCACGGCTGCGGGATAAATTCCTTTCCTCTTGCGACACCACCTACCTCACTTGGTCGTTGTGATGCCGAAACACTGCCAGGAACATGGGTAGCATCTGTGCTGAGCAGGAAATCCGCAGCGGCCCTTTGGGGCCGGAAGTCCCACCCCATCTGACCCTCACCCTCTTCTACCCGGAAGTACATCCCCGCCCGCAGTGTACTCTGCCCCAGGTTGGGACACCGGCGCCCCAGCAAGGCGTCAGTTTTACCGGCTAAGAAATGGATCCGTCTCGCCTAATGTACAGCATCACCAGCCAAGATTCTCAGGCGGCAGGCCAAGATTTTGACTCTGTCGGAAAAGATTATTTATCCACCAGCCAAGAATTCGATTCTCTCTATCAAGAATTGGATCTGAACTCTCTTAATGAAGATTTTCTTTCCCAGTCCATGTCCAGTGCCATGACAAAGACCTCTCTGGGTGCATATGAATCCCGGACAACTTCTGAACCTGAGCATCTGACCGAAGCCGAGCAAATGGAGCTCAAATCCGAGCTCACCAAATTGGAGGAGGAAATCGTAACGCTACGCCAGGTGCTGGCCGCCAAAGAGAAACGCTGTGGGGAGCTCAAAAGAAGGTTGGGCTGCACGGCTTTGGTGGGGTTGAAACAGAATCTGTCCAAGAGCTGGCATGATATTCAGGTCTCCAACACTTACATGAAACAGAAGACATCAGCCGCCCTGTCCACCGTGGGCTCTGCCATCTGCAGGAGGCTTGGAGACGTGAAGAAGTCAGCCACGTTCAGATCTTTGGAAGGTCTGATGGGGACAATCAAGTCCAGAGTCGCAGGTGGCAGAGACCTTGGCAATGACAGCCTTCCTTCCTCGCCAGGGAGTGGAGATGACCCACTCCTGGTTCCAGAGAGTGGGGCTGACCCAGTTCCAGGGAGTCAGGATGACCTGCTTTCCTTTCTAGAGCCAGAATGAGCCTCTTGGTAACCTCGCCTGGCCACCAAACCAGTACAAGAGCCCCCGTCCTTCATCGCACTTGCGACTCTGCCCAACTAAAACCAGCAACCAAATCACAATGGTAAAGTGAATTCAGGAAATGGACAGAGTTCGGCTTTGAGAAAAAATAATGTCCCTTTGTATGTAGATATTTACTGCTGTTGAATGAGAGAACCCCAAAGTTTTGTACTTTTTGGTTATTTTACACTAAAGTTTGTAGACAAAAATGCATCCCTATGCTAGCTTTTCTGAGGTCTCATACAATGGCTAGGACAATGGCTCCATAAGATAGTCTGGAAAACTAGTCTATTAGAAGGCCAAAGTAGATTTCTGTCTACAACTGGTAAAAGTTATGAAATAATGTGCAGTTTTATTCACTCCCTATTTCTTCGTTTTCTAAGTCTCTGAAGGAACCCAGACATCTTGAAAGCTTCACCTGGCCTATAATTCTTATTTTTAAATGATGATAAAGAAAAATGTCCATCTTCTTTGACACCTCCAGAGAGGGGAAAAGTATTAGTATATTGATTGATAAATTTGCATTATAAATTTCATAGAACTTATTTTTTCAAAGCTCTCATCCCAAAGCAATAGCTTCAATTTATGAGATTGCTAGTACTTTGAACTCAAGCTGAAATGGCAACTTTACTTTGTCTTGTACCTTGTTTCTTATCACTTTATCACAATGAGGATTTTAAAGTTTAAACCTTGTAGCAGCATGTCTCTGCCCCAGCAAAACGAAGATTGCTTCCTTGTTCTGCAGCATTTCCCAGTTAGTAACCACCTCCAGCTGAGGGGCTACAGAAAACAGTACAGCTAAATCAATAAAGATAAGCCCCTATCTTAGGCAACAGTTAAAAAAGAGTATCTGTCCCCTGTAATGCTGGCTGTTAGGCCTTTGATTGGACCAAACTCACTACTGTCCTTGACTCCAATCCGTTCTTGTTTTTAACCCCAAATGAGAAGCAGAAACCAGGATGGTAGGAATTGTAGGTACCTGGTTTGAGTTTGTTTAAACTTTCTGGTATCAAATTTTCATAGGAGCTGCGTGATGTTTCTTGTTTGTTTGTTTTCCCTTTCCATTTTCAAATACCAAGACCTGGCAAATTCTTTCATTCCTCTAATCACACTGCGCGAGGTAGACATTGTGTTTTATTGGCTCTTAGTAGAGAGGCTAGGGCCTTTATTTGCTTGGGTACATTAATGACCTCTCACTGCATAAAGGTGATTCTTCCAGCCTAAAAAGGTGATCCTGTTTTGTTGATTCTTGAAGAACACTCCCCCTACAGTCTTTGGGTTTTCCTACAAGCAAAATGGAACACCACTATAAATTCTAAAGCCCTTGTTAAGCGGTAAAGTCACTGATGTGTCCCTGACTTCTACAAATTTCTGAAGACAATGGTTTGCTTGTATTAAAATAAGACTTTCAACTATTTTACATGTTTGTTTATTAATTTGTTGTATTTATCAACCAACATGGCTTTCTGTGTTGCAGAACAATAGGCAAACATGCAGTGCGTGAGAAATGAAAATAGCCCAACAAGCATTCAACCTTGCATTTCTGAAAGTCCTGTTGTGTTAAGGACAATCCCAGGCTGACATAATTGATCAAAACCAAAACATGTTTTATTTAATAATTCACAGAAGTGAGGGCGGACACTTAGTGCAGCGGTTAAGTCGCCAGTTGGATTGCCCTCATCCCATATTGAGTTTCTGGTTTGAGTCCAGCCACTCCACTTCTGCTCCAGATCCTTGTTAATGGCCTGCCTGGGAAAAGCAGCGAAAGATGACCTGAGTGTTTGGGCCCTTGCCATCCACGTGGGAGACCCCGATGAAGCTCCTGACTTCAGCCTGGCTTTGGCCTGGCCCAGCACGGGCCATTGCTGGGGAGTGAATCGGCATAGAAGTTCTCTATTTCTGTTTCTGTTTCTCTCTTTGTAATTCTGATTTTCTAAATAAATAAATAAATCTTTAAAAAAAAACTATCTGTGTCTCTGCTTTTCAAGTAAAAAGCAAAGCTTTTTAAAAAAATAATTCATGGGGCCAGAGCTGTGGCATAGCAGGTTAAAGCCCCAGCCTGCAGCACCAGCATCCCATATGGGCACTGGTTCAAGTCCTGGCTACTTCACTTCCAATGCAGGTCTCTGCTAAGGCCTGGCAAAGCAGTGGAAGATGGCCCAACTCCTTGGGTCCCCGCACCCATGTGGGAGATCCCAAAGAAACTGCTGGCTTCAAATCAGCTCAGCTCTGGCTGTTGCAGTCACCTGGGGAGTGAATCAGCAGAATAGAAGAGCTCTCTTTCTGGCTCTACCTCCCTCTGTAACTCTGGCTTTCAAATAAATAAATAAATCTTTTTAAAAAATAAAATAATTTATACATTGTAACAATTTCTTCAATAATTTTCAACTCCATGAGAACGGTAAAGCACATATCTGGTTTTAATTATTGTAGTTGCCTGGCTTAGGGTAGATATTCAATAAATACTTTTGGAATCAATAAAGGAATTAATATCATTACTTCAGACACAAATCATAGATCAAAAGTTATTATCAACAACATGATTTGGTTGACAAGTTTCTCAAATTTTTCCGCAAAATATTTAAAGCATTTTGGGGCGAGCACTGTGGCATAGCAGGTAAAGCCACCGTCTGCAGTGCCAGCATCCCATATGAGCACCAGTTCAAGACCCAGCTGCTGCACTTCTGATCCAGCTCTCTGTTGTGGCCTAGGAAAGCAGTAGAAGATAGTCCAAATCCTTGGGCCCCTACACTCGCGTGGGAAGACCCGGAGGAAGCTCCTGGCTCCTGGCTTCGGATAGGACAGCTGCAGCTATTGCAGCCAACTGGGGGGTGAGCCAGCAGATGGAAAATGGAAAACCTCTCCCTCTCTCTCTGCCTCTCCTTCTCTCTCTGTGTAACTCTTTCAAATAAATAAATAAATCTTTAAAAAAAATTTAAAGCATTTTGAATATTCAAAGGAAACTTGACCCCCTACTATGTGTCAGTAACCTTGACAGGCCCTGAAGGCAGAGATGTTAATTAGACACAGCCTATGCTCTCTAGAAACACTTAGATTTTTAAATCATTACAGTTCACTTCAGTAGCTGCTAAAATGGAGCTATATGCCAAAGACAAAGAAAGTCCTCTGTGAATGGTGTTTCTCTGCTTTGGCAGGTTAGTAGAGACATCAGAGAGACAGGAAGTCATAGAGGACTAGGATGAGTTTGCCAGACAATATTCAGAGGAACTGAGTCATGAACGAATGTAGGTATATTTCAGGAAATACCAGTAAGTCACTGTGGTGAGACAGGAAAGGGAAACATGGTAAAGAGATGAGTTTGGTAAAATAAGCAGAGGCAAAACATAAATGTGAGTAAATTGTCATATATGCTGCCTCAGACAGTATTTAACCCTGCAGGAAGCAGAGAAACATTGAAGTACATCAGTTAAAATTTTTTTTTTTTTTTTTTGACAGGCAGAGTGGACAGTGAGAGAGAGAGAGAGACAGAGAGAAAGGTCTTCCTTTGCCGTTGGTTCACTCTCCAATGGCCGCCGCGGCCGCCGCGCTGCGGCCGGCGCACCGCGCTGATCCGATGGCAGGAGCCAGGAGCCAGGTGCTTTTCCTGGTCTCCCATGGGGTGCAGGGCCCAAGCACCTGGGCCATCCTCCACTGCACTCCCAGGCCACAGCAGAGAGCTGGCCTGGAAGAGGGGCAACTGGGACAGAATCCGGCGCCCTGACCGGGACTAGAACCCGGTGTGCCGGCGCCGCTAGGCGGAGGATTAGCCTAGTGAGCCGCGGCGCCGGCCCCAGTTAAAAATTTAACTATCAAATTTGTGTTTTACATAAAACACTCTGGTCACCAAAAAATGGATTTAAAAATATTTGAGATCTAAAATCCCCCAGACTTAAAAGCCAACTGCATGGGAGACAGAGGTGGATACATTTGCAAGATAATGAGGATGTAGAATTAATAAACCTAGAGCTGCACATTCATTTTGCTTTGGATTTTTTTGTTAGATGTCAGCATACCTCCATCAGTGGCCATGGGCACCAAACAAAATGCCTCCACAAATGTGGACTTTGGTTCAAAGGTTTTCTCCAGACTTCCTTTCCCTATCTGTTTCTACCCTTCCCATGCATTGGTTCTCCTCATCCTCTACTCTGTTTATCTTCATAACGTGATCATCTTTGCCCATCTGGACCTATTTGGATTTTATAGCATAGCTCCCCTCGATTTTAACTTTAACTCAGATACTTCAGGATGCAGCTTCAAATAGTTTCTGGAATAGGTACACATCCAAACATGCCCAACCCTAGGTTTGGCTCAACCCTTGAGAACCATTGGTTGGAAAGAATACTGGAACAAAACTCTAGGTTTTCTCAGGATTCCATTTCCCATAGTGCTCACATAAGTGAAAGGATTGGAATAGAAGGTAGGGACAAGGTGCTAAGGCCTGAACCTTTTTGAACTCCTAAAATTCTTATGTTGAAATCTTAATGCCAACAATAATGCCATTAGGAGGCAGGGCCTTTTGGGAAGTAATTAGCCCAGTGAAATGGGATTTTTGCCCTTCTAAAAGACCTAAGGGAACTTGTTTACCCTTTCTACCATGACTGAATACAGTGTGAAGGCACCATTTATGAACCACAAAACAGGTCTCACCAGACAATGAATGTTCTGATACTTTGACCTTGGACCTCTCAGCCTACAGAATATAAGAAGTAAGTTTCTGTTGTTTATAAGTTATCTGGTTTACAGTTTTTTTTTTAAATAGCAGTCTGAATGGACTAATATACAGAGTTGAAAGTTTTGTCTCCCATAGATGGCACTCCCATGCCACTGGCAGGGATAGGAATAAAGTACCAAGCTCTATGTTCATAATGCCAGCAACACTCTAGGGGAAATTTATCAGTAACTTCCAGAAGCTATTCTGCTTCTGCTTACTGATCCATCAAAATGGATCAGAATGGTAAGTTCTAGATTTGAGAACAACTGTATCACATATACTATTCTCTAGGCTTACATGTGCTATAGAGCAGTAGGCAAAGACCACTGACTCAAAACAGTGTAGGTCTCTTGATAGTGACAGAAAATGTGTTTGGTAGCCCCACGCATCAAGGGTAAAATTCTGCTAAGGAATGGGATCAGTTGCATCTGAACCATGGAAACCAAGAAACCATGGTTTCTTGTCCATGAACTCTATTGCATAATAAAAGATTGGGCACTGCTTTATGAAAACAACTGTAGAGAATTGATTTATGGTAGAATAAGTAGCACAAAGGATCTATCTCCCCACCTAGACAACAATAGCATTGATGGAATTAGCCTGATACAACTATTTTAGAGCTCTAAAAATCTACTGCAACATTGCAACTTACTGGGGGAGGTCTTGGACAGTAAGTTGTGGCTAATTTTAGTCAATTTCAACTCCTAGAAAAGTATCAGCTCTCTGTCTGCACCTCAATGTTTATTGCAGCTCAATTCACAATAGACATGGAATCAACCTAAATGTCCATCAACAGAAGACTGGATAAAGAAATTGTGGGACATGTACTCTATAGAATACTATACAGCAGTAAAAAAAAAAAGAAAGAAAGAAATCCGGTCATTTGCAACAAAATGGAGGAATCTGGAAAACATCATGCTGAGTGAAATAAGCGAGTCCCAAAGGGACGAATATCATAGGTTCTCCCTGATCTGTGACAACTAACTGAGCACTTAAAAGGAAACCTAGAGAAGTGAAATGGACACTATGAGAAACAATGTCTTGATCAGCCCTTGTCCTGACTGTCCAGGAACAACTTACTATTTTATTCCTTTAAGCATTTTTCTGTTCCACTTAATACCATTGGTTTAACTCTTTAATTAACACACAATTATTCTTAGGTGTTTAAATTTAACTGAAAAGTGATCCCTGTTAAATATGAGTGGGAATAAGAGAGGGAGGAGATGTACAGTTCAGCACATGCTCACTTGGACTTACCCCTAATGGTAGAGCTAGAAACGTGCCAGGGGATTCCAATTCAATCCCATCAAGGTGGCATGTACCAATGCCATCTTAACTGTTAAAGTGATCAGTTTCAGTTCATAATTGATCAAAAAGATAAAATTAAGTGTCAAAGGGATTACATAAATAAAACCAGTGTCTGCAAATAATAATTGATAGAAATAAAAAGGAGAGAACGATCCAACATGGGAAGCGAGATACACAGCAGACTCATAGAATGGCAAATGCCCTAAACAGCACTCTGGCCTCAGAATCAGCCCTTAAGGCATTCGGATCTAGCTAAAAAGCCCATGAAAGTTTCGCAGGTATGGAAAGCCAAGACACTGTGGCCAAAAAAAAATGACCTAAATGAAAGATCTTTGTGAGTGAGATACCAGCAGAAAGAACAGGCCATCAAAGAAGGAGGTACCTTTCTCCAAAGGGAGGAGAGAACTTCCACTTTGAATATGGCCTTGTCTAAATAAGATCAGAGTTGGTGAACTCAAGAGGCTTCCATAGCCTTGGCAGCTCATGACAAGAGCCTCGGGTGATTACTGACATCATAAATAAGTGTCAATTGTTAAATCAACAACGGGAGTCACTGTGCACCTGCTCCCCATGTAGGATCTCTGTCCTTAATGTGCTGTACTATGCGAATTAATGGTAAAACTACTACTCAAACAGTACTCTATACTTCGTGTGCCTGTGTGGGTGCAGTCTGTTGAAATCTTTACTTAGTATATACTAAGTTGATCTTCTGTTTATAAAGATAATTAAAAATGAATTTTGATGAAGAATGGGATGGGAGAGGGAGTAGGAGATGGGATGATTGTGGGTGGGAGGGAAGTTAAGGGGGAAAAAGCCACTATAATTCAAAAGTTGTACTTTGGAAACTTATACTTATTAAATAAAAGTTGAAAAAGAAGAAAAGTATCAGCTCTCCATCTCAGACCCTTAATCCTGTAGCAAGGCAACTATGCACATGTTCCCAGA